TGAGAACTAGGAAATGAGGGGCAGGTGGCAACCATGGCTTGAAGTTTGGGTCTCAGCCTCCCACACCACAGCACAAGGGTCTGCTGTCCTGCTCGGCTTCTGAGGATCACCTTCTAGTCATGTGCGGTCTCCCCACTTCCCTTTTGGCTTAAACCAGCTCAGCTGTAGAGATGAGGCTGCGGTGACCCTCATCTCAACAGAAATGCACGACACCCAGCATTGGACATCCAAAGAGCCCTAAGATAGGTGTGCTTAGAAATTGTTGGGATCCTGTTTCCATCAACTTCTACATGGGTTGGGAGAATTCAAAAAGACAAATAAAACTTTCATTTTCATGTCTACTTGGTGATCTACAAAGCACGGAGATGTAACACAGCTTTTCTTTTCTTTATTTGAGTTTCACTGTAGCCCCAGCTGGCCTGGAATTCGATATGTAGATCAGCCTGCTTCTGCCTCTAGAGTGCTGGATTTAAAGGTGTGTTGTCCCCCACCCCCATGCCCAGTTCCTTGTAAATCTTTTTTAATGATTCGGATTTCACAGGAGTCATCTAGGGTATGATTTTAAAATATCAACTACTTAGAAGGCAGTTGGACAGTATCTCTTGAAGTGTGAAGGTGCTATTTTGCTCCACAGCCCAGTCATTACTCCTTTGGAGTAGCTCATGGGCTCCACACTCATGGGCAAGGGACCTTTCCCTGAAGAAATGGGGCAAGAGGATGCACTCAATACCTCTTTTCCTCTCCACATCCCAAACTAAGATGCAAGCCCCTCTCCTTCAAGTGGACTCCCTCAGTGCCTCCCTCTGCAGTTCTCCAACCTAGTCACCCTGCACTGACTGTTCTACTTCCTCCTCTAGAGACCCTCTTGTTTCCAGCTTTCTCTTTGTTCTGCTTAGATTCTACCATCCACCATTATGATCATTCCCCTGGAAATACCCCAACTTCAGCCCTTTCTCCCTTCTCTGTTGTTGCCTGCTGAACTTGGGGGAACCACCTTCTCCACAGGCATTCTTTAGGCAGCTGAGATCTACTTCAGGGAACCACACAACTGGGTAGATCAGTTGTTCGAAAGAATTGTGCCCACTAATCTCATCCAGGTCTCCACAAAGACGGGTAGACCAGTTCTCCCCAAGAACCATGCCCACTAATTTTATCTGCTCTTTCACACAGGCAGCAGTGCCAGGACAGTTCTCCAGTCAGCCTGTTTTCCACACAAACAAACCTTCTCTCATCTTTCCACACCTTCTCTTCTTCTCCAATCCCCACAGATGATGACCTTTCTCACATTTTTTTTTTGAGAAGTCAGGGCCATGTGATGAGTGCTCCAAGATTTCATTCTCATAGCCTTCTTCTCGCCACCCCCCCACCTCGTTACGACAGACACACCACCCTCGGATATCAAAGATCAATCCTACCCTATCAGCTACAAGACTCCAATCCTTCCAATCCAGCAGTGTTAGCATCTCTGTGTTTCTATCTCCAGCCAGTTCTCAGATCCATTCAGTTATTACCAGGACTGCTGATGCCACTCTAGACCAGGCCCCTTGGTCTGCCGTCATCTTTCTGTTCTTCTAGCTTCTCTCAGTTCCAATCCGCTGTCCACCTACACCAGAGACCCCTTCGTTCCTTCACAGAGATGCAAAGCACATGCCAAGAGCTCATATTTTTTTTCTTATGCTTTTCCTAGAACTGATATCACTGGCCGCATCTAGTCAAATGTCTATTCCTAATATCGAAGAGAGAGAAACAGAGTCTCTCATGTACCTGACTCCTGACTGCCTGAGTCTCCCATAGGATCTGTCCTCGTGCCACCTGAAGCCATCTTCCTCCTCGCCAGCTCTTCTCACTCCCTCTCAGTATCTCTGTCTCCCCATCCCCTCTGCTCACCCACAGCAGTGCATCCCCCAGAGACAGCTGAGAGTTCATCCCTCTGGAAGATTCTTATGGTATCATATGTATCCAAAATGTCCCCAGCTGGTGATGCTGTTTGGGGAGCTTGTGGGGCATGGCCAGTGGACGTGGGTCACCAGGAGAGTGTTGGGGGGGATGTACTTTGAGGGTTATAGCCCAGCCTGGCTTCTGGTCCTGTTCTTTCTACTTCCTGATCCACTATGTGAGGGCTTCTGATTGGATGCTCCCGCCTCTCCAGATGGAGCTGTTGTGGCTTCTCTGCCCTCCTTGTCATGATGGATTGTAACACTGGAATCATCTGGAACCAAAACAATCCTTTCCTCCCATAAGGGGGAGGTATGATGAGAAAAATAACTGATATAATTCTATTTGGGAAGATATCTCAAACCACTGCCCCCAAACTAGGTTAGGGCCCCTCAACTGTCATCCTCTCTCAAAATAGCACTTACCACAGTCAACAGCGATCCATTTGTCTGGTTATTTGCTTATTGCCTGCCTTTTCAGACTGTGAAGCTCACAAGGACAAAAAGCAAGCATCTCTGCTTGCTCTTGAACCCTTAGTGCCTGGCACAGTTCCTGTCATAAAGAACGAGTGTTCCACGTGGTAAACCAGGGAAGAATGGCTATGAAGCTTGGACTGGGGCACATGGTACGTCCTGCACCCCTAACACTCATCTCAGCATTAGCTAAGAGAAGCTGCATCCCTGGTCACTGTGCTTGCCTCATCCTCGAAGCACACCAGAAAGTTCACCTTCTTAGCAGCCACCGTCCTGCTCCTCATTCAATACTCAGGACCCTGGGACCTCAGAGTGCTCTATGGGCTTCTACAGAACCTCAGCCAGAACAGGCTCATTACCACCCAGAATTTTAGACATGGTGACAGGAATAGAGTCTGAACAAGTAAAATAAGTCTTCTTGACTGTAAGGGGGGTATTATTATTTTAAGAATATATTTATATGGTCATGTCATTGAGTCTAATAAAGCTCTGATGTTGCAGAGATCAAAATTTTTACTTTAAGATATGAAAGTCTAGGGAATGTAATGGTATATTATTAGGTCATGAAAAGTTAATAAATAACTAACATGCATGCTATAGCATGCATGAATCCTGAATGCATATATTAAGAAACACACACAAGAACTGCATATTGCATTACTGCACTTATATGAACTGTACTATGGAAACAAAGCATACTGGTCACTGCCTGGAGCTGGGGATAGGGTACAGTGGGTGGGTTGGGATGGTGTCTGCTGAGTGATTTCTTTTGGGGGTGATGGCAATGTTTGTAAACTGACTGTGGTGATAGTTACACAATTTCATGAATATATTAAAAACCACTGCTTTTTAGGTTTGAATAGGCAAATTGCACCCCCTGGGAATTATACCTCAATAAAGCTATTATAACAGCTCATATCAAGTAAGGAAGGCGTCAAGTTCTTTAGTCGCTGAGAATTTTGTTTTCCCTTCGATTTTATTTCAAAAGAACAATGTAGCAGGATTATAGGCTGGAACATCATAGTACCCTCCCCCAAGTAATTAACCGCCAATTTCCCTTTAAGAAGCTTTATGAAATTGGAATCTGAAGCAGACATTTCATTTTATTTTTGAAGAGGCTGGAACAAGGTACTACTCTGTAGCAATTTGAATTGTTTTAGTGGAAGCCTTTGCTGTGTGTTGACCCAGTGCTGTGGGTGCGTAGATAAAATAGCTGTTGGCAGCACAGTGAGTTAGCTGTGTAGGACCCAAAAATGGTACCAGAAGGTTAAAGAGGAGCCAAACAATACCTGAGTGAACTCGCATGACACCAGTGCATTTTAGAGCTCCCTGAGAGCCCGGATTGAAACCCTTTACTCTCAGTGACCTCAACTGTATCCCTGTTTGCTTCTCTGTCCCTATTCTCCCCATCCCATGCCAATCTGATTGCCTGATGTGCTCTTAGAACAAATTTTGACCAAAGAAATTCTATTTCTTATCTGATGTGAATGTCATAAACAAGGATAAAGGAGAGAAAAACCGGCTGGGATGTCTGCAGTGACTCAGCAGTTCACCAGCCTAGCTGTTTGGCCCGTTCTGTTGGCAGCTAAGTGGGGCAGGCACCTCTAGAGGCAAGCTTTACAGTAGTGAAATTTCAAGGGATCCTTTCTTCTGGTTTCAGTTAAAAACTTTTTGGGGAAAAGATGCCAAATATACCCAGAAATATTCCTGTCTCCATGATGATAATGATGGTGATGGTGATGCTGATGGTGATGTGTGATGATGATGGTGTTGATGATGGTGATGATGAGGATGATGATGATTTGAGATGGAGACTTCTATGTAGCCTAGGCTAGCCTTCAGGTTGGCCTTGAATTCCCAGCAGTCCTTCAGCCTCAGCCTCCTAAGAGCTGAGATTATAGGTGTGAACACTCACTTCCTGTCTGCTTCCTTTGACAAGCATGCCAGAGGGTCCCTGTCTGCCACTTTAAACAATATTTTTTTTTATTATTTTATGTGTATGAATGTTTGCCTGCAGGTATGTAAGCGTATCACATGCATGCGATGCCCAGGGAGGCCAGAAAAGGGAGTCAGATCCCTTGGAACCGGAGTTACAGAAGGTTGTTAGCAGCCATGTGGGTGCTAGGAATCAAACCCTGGTCCTCTGCAAGAGTAGCCAGGGCTCTTAACCACTGAGCCATCTCTCCAGCCCCCATTTTAACCTTTGAAATGTTTACTCCATGACTCTGAGCTAAGCCCAGGAATGTCTCAGCCATTTTTCCTTGCTGACCTATGACCTTAAACTATCATGTACATCTTAAACTGAGCATGTCCAGGATTGTGTCCCCCAACTCCAGGTACTTTCTTATAAGAATATGTATAAGCTTCCAGAATAAAATTGCAGAGCACCACTTTGGGAATGACCCTCTGTGTCCTTAGCTGCTGCAGGGAATAAGCCCTTCTCCATGCTTTTATTTTCTGGTTGTGCTTACTGGTCTCGCACTCCCCAAGTGAAGAGCCCATTATGTGCAGGTTAAAGCTCATGTTGTGGACAGGACATCCCCCCCCCCGACAAGCAGCTGTGTCTGGAGCTGGTCAAGGGTTTGTTCTCACCACATGCGTAGGTAACAGTGAGGTATTTTTTCACTCCTGGAAGACAGGGGCTTCCAAAGTGGCGATTATTGACGAGGACTTTGCATCTCTGCTTCCCATAGCACTTTTGGGACAGGACTTGTGAAGCTGAGTAAGACAAGCAGTCTGGAAGTGAAACAAAGAGCGTGTTAGGTACAGCTTACAGTGCATGTGGTAAATGAATACACCAAGCTGGGTTTCAGGTCAAACGAACACTGCTTCTCTGCTGATGTTCTGTCTTGCTGAAGCACCCAGGATGGCCTGCACTAGCTTCCATCGTGTTCTAGAAAGCTTGAGCTTCGCTTCAGATCCTGCTGGTACCTTCATGAAATCCTGATACAGTTTTGCTCAAGGAGACCCAGATGTTTGCTTTGCACTGGGCTTGCAGACCTGTAACTGCTGATGCATACAGAGGAGAAATATGCCCAACACCAAATGAGGCTTTTGTTTCCGACATGGCCCCACCCTATGAAATATGCATCTTGTTTAAGACCTTCTCTCCCCTAGTGATCACAAGTCATGAGGGAATATGTTTATCTTCTTTTTTTATATGTTCCTGTGTGTGTGTGTGTGTGTGTGTGTGTGTGTGTGTGTGTGCGTTCTAGGTATGCACGTACCACTGTGCATGTGTGGAAGTTAGAGGAAACGTTTCAAGAGTCGGTTCTCTCCCTCCACCATGTGCGTCCTAAGGATTGAACTCAGGTCATCAGGCTCAGCAGCAAGTGCTGAGCCATCTCCCCAGCTATGGAATTGTGTCCCAAGGGGTACTTGTTCCTTTCAGAGGCAGGGCCTGCTGTAGAGAATTGGCTGCAGAGAGTTAGCACGGAGGAAGGAATGTTGGTTCCATCTTGGCAGCGGTGGCATGGAAAAAGATAGCCCCGGTGTCTCACCCACATGGACTTGAGAGGGGGCATTTACCAACCTGGGGCGGGACTGTGGGTCCAAAAGGCATGGGCAAAAGCTAACAGAGACTGTAGGCACAGAAGGGATCTGGAACTGCAGGCCGCTGAGCCTCAGCGTGGAATGGGGCACCAGGTGTTTGCCTTTGTAAGTTGCCCTATTATATCCCTACCCAGGATATAAACTATGAAAAATTCAGACAAAGATGTATTATATGGTTTGTTTAATATCACCAGGAGCCAGGGACCCTAAGAGAACTTGGGTGACAGGAATATATCTTGATCACATCTAATTCCCACTCTCTGGCCTGCTTTAGGATCTCAATAAGTCACTGATAAATGAATGGATGAAAGGATAAACTAATACACACAAGGAGTGGTTTTCAGAACCCTGACACAATGTTGCCATAGTATTGGCTGATGATCTGTGCTGTGGTTGGATGTGTCCCTCCAAAGTTCATGAGCTGGAAATTTAATCCATACATGTTAATGATATTCACAGGTGGAGTCTTTGTGAGACAGTTGAGATTAGATGAGATTATGTAGGTGGGGTTCCATGATGGAGTTAGTGGCTTTAAAGAAGGACCTGAGCTGGCCAGCTTGCTCTGTCTCACCATGTGATCCCCTCTACCATGTTAGATGCAGAAAGAAGTTTTTCCACCAGAGGCTGGTTGTGACAGAGTCTCAGACTTCCCAGACTTCAGAATCATAAGCCAAACAAACTTCAGTTCTTTATAAATTACCTGGTCTTGGGTATTTTGTTATAGCAACAGAAAACTGGACTAAGATACCTATGGAGGATGCAGCATTATACTATGTGCTGCCAGAAAAAGGAAGATTCCCCACCTTGCATTGGAAGGTTGTGTAACTGTAATGCTAAACCTTTGTTGTCAATTTGGCTGGATTGAGAAGTGCTGGAAATTAGCAAAGCATACCTTTGGGTGTGTCTGTGGGTGTTTCCAGAGAGGATTAACTAAGGAAGGAGGGAAGACCCTCTCTCTCTCTCTCTCTCTCCCTCCCTTCTCCTCTCCCCTCCCTCCCTCTCATCTCTCTTCCTTGACTACCATTCCATGAACCCCTCTGCCCTACCAGACTGTCCCTGTCATGACAGATACCTTGGAAGCCATGAGCCAAAGTAAATCTGTCTTTCATTAAAGTTGTTTATTTCAGATATTCTGTCACAAAGGCAAATCAAAACAAATGCTCCTAATACAGCAGTGGAGCTGAAGAGATGAAGTCTAGATAGTGGGACACAGTGAATGAACATCAGCAGGGAGTGGTCCACACAAGAGGTCCTGAGGTCAAAGTCCAGAAGGATCTCTGTGGAACAGAACATTAAAACAGGTTTTACCGAGAACAGGACCTCAGTTGTGGAAGAAAGCATAAATTGAGAAGAGACAGTCAAAGAGGACTGTATGAACACAAGTTGGTTGGGACAGGAGCTGGAAGAGGCGGTGGGCAGGACAGCCACGCTAAGTAGGGCGGTAAGGGCAGACTGGGGCAAAGCTGACTGCCCGCCTAATGTATTGAAACATCATGGCGGAAGCAACAGGGAATCTAAAGAAAGAGCCTGATATATTGGCCTTGGAGGACAGTGGATGGAACATCCCGGGGGGATGTGTGGGGGAGTGAAACCTGGGGCAGGAGAGCAGTTTGGAAGCAATTTTAATAATGTACTTTGAGGGGTGGTGGTGAGATGGTTCAGTGGGTAAAGGAGCTTACTGCACAGGCCTGGAGACCTGACTTTGACCCCAGGAATCCCATAAAGGTAGAAGGAGAGAACTGACTCCACAAAGTTGCCCTCTGACCTCCACATGTGTGTTATGACACACATGCCCCCCATCATGTACACACATATAAATAAATAAAAATTAAAAATAAAGTTTACAAAACACTGCACAGGACATTTGAGGAGTTAAGGGCTTAAAGAGTAAGGATGGAAGAGTAGAGAACTTTAGAGACCTTGCAAAGTTCAGTTCACACCTAACAGCTGACACTGCACAAGCTTCTGTTCTTAACATTACATGCTGACTGATTTAATGTTACCAACCTCCCCCCCTTCTCATTACTTTAGGGATATGAAAGCAGACTCAGGAAGTTCTGGAACGTTAGAGTGCAGTGGGATTTGAACGTGAACTCTGGAGACTGGAGTCTGACCTGGTGGAGCACGGGTGGGGAGCTGTCAGGTGAGGGAGCTGTCCAGGACCATTTCTGATCTTAAGCTACAGGACCTGGGAAACTGATGCTGGAGACCATGTCTGGGGAAGCACTGGAGCAGGGAGTTAGTAGAAGATGAGATATTGAAAATGACCATTCTGCATTTGAGATGGAAGCGCTTTCAAGAGAGTGTGTGGATTTGGAGATGCCCTGGGGGAGGTTCTTGGCTGAAAGAAGAACTGCTGGTGGGCAAAGAGGCCCTAGATGTGCCCATATCTACTTAAGTCTTAAGGAAGACACCTTTCTCTACCCTCACAACAATAACCCTACACTCCCATATCCAAAACCCTGTCTCTAGCCTGGTCTTTTTACCTTCTCAGTCAGGCTTCTAGAAAGGGTCTTCTGTGCTGCTCTTCCAGAGGACCCGAGTTCAGTTCCTGGCACCCACCCACATTGGGATTTGAGGCCCTCTTCTGTTCTCTGAGGGCACCTGCACACATGTGGCACACATTCACAGAGGCACACACACATACACATAAATATAAGTAAAAATAAAACTTAAAAACTGCTCTGTTTCTTCTAAGTCACACATCTCACATGTAAGCCAGACCAAAATCAGGCCCCTCTTCATTGAACTTCCCTCTCTAAGTGGGAAAGTCCTTCGGTCTCCAGAGAACATTCTGAAATGAGATTCGTGCAGAAGCTGTGTGACTGAAACACAAAATTTACCTTAGAAATCTGAGTTTTAGAGTTTGTGTGTGTGTTTTTTTTTTTTTTTTTTTTTTGAGACATGTAGCCCCAGCTGGCTTTGAACTCACTATGTAGACCAGGCTGGCCTCAAACTCATTCCAAAAATAAACACGTTTATATTTTAAAAGCACAGATAAGACTAAACTGGACACAAAAATCCCCAGCAAATTCCACTCTCGGGGGGGGGGGGGGTTTACCCTGACATTTAAGCAGGATGTGGGAGCCCAGAACTTGGGAAATGTAGGCAAAAGGGTCAGGAGTTTGAGGCCAGCCTGGGCTACATAATGTGTTTGAGGCCTACCTAAGCCTGAGACCCTGTCTCAGAAAACAACAACAAAAACAAAAGAACATCTGAAGCTGGGTGCACCTTTAATCCCAGCACTCAGGAGGCAGAGGCAGATCTCTGTGAGTTTAAGGCCAGCCTGGTCTACATAGCAAGTTCCAGGCCAGCTGGGGCTACAGGGAGTCCCTGTCTCAAAAAAAAAAAAAAAAAAAATTCTTGCAGCCACTTTTCTGGGTGTAAAGACCCTTCCTCCTCACCGGGGCACGAACGTATCACTTTGAATGCTGGGTTTTCCCTGTATTCATATATGTGTGAACATTTAACCATATGATTTATTGTATTTATTTCAAGATTTGTTTTTATTTTATGTGTATGAGGGTTTGCCTGCATGTACATATGCACAGAACACATGAAATGTGCTCATAAAGAGGATGTCTGATTCCCTGGAGCTGGAGCTATGGATGGTTATGAGCTGCCATGCAGGTCCTCTGCAAGAGCAGCAAGTACTCTTGACTGCTGAGCCATCTCTCCAGCCCCCCATTATTTTAAAGAGCTGCCTCACTTTTCACCTGTTTGTAACATCCTGTGGGTCACTGAGATGATCTCTGTTTTTAACGTAATAAGCAATGTCATGTAGAGCCTTTATAGAGCTCAATACTTGTATTCAAGAATGGGGTTTTCCATAGGAATTCTTGGTCATAGAGTGCTCTGTCAAAGAGCATCTAACACATGAAGGCTGTGACACACCAACAAGCTATTACTTTGAAATGGTATCACTGTGTTGCTCACAGAATTAAATGAGTGTTCTAGAAAGTGCTATAAGGAGATATCTGTCTGACCATAGGTTTTGTTTGTTGTTGGTTTGACACTGGGGTCTCATGTTGGTTGCCCAAGCTAGCCTCAAACTCATTATGTAGTTGAGGATGGCTTTGAACTTCTGATCTTCCTGTTTCCATCTCCACATGTGCTGGAATTATACCACCATGCGCAGTTTATGTGGTGTTGCAGATCAAACCAAGGACTGGTGCATGCTAAGC